CCTTGTGAGGCATCGGTCCAACCTCCCTTGCCAATACACTCAACTGCCTTGCCTTCTTGTCCTGCCTCTGTCTTCCACCAAACCTTCACCCTGGATCAAGCCACGACCTTGTCTTCCTGATTCCTCTACACAGCGAATTGAATTCTGCTGAATAAAGTCACTGTTATCTTTGCCAAGGCCAGGTCGCCGCCTTCAAGTGTATCTGACCCCAAGTCTGCCTGGTTTTTCTGTGTCTCTCTCCTATTTCCAGAAAGAGCCAATTCCCTTTCCCATTTCTCACTTAAAAAAAAAAAAAAAAAAAAACCAAAAAACACCCAACCCTAATTTAATCAATACTAATGCCTAAGCCCTCTCCCCGACCATAATTCTTCATGGTCAGGGGAATGGTCTGATCCAGTTGTGCACGGTGACTCTAGAATCCAGCTTCTGGGAGCACTTTTCCTACGTATGTGTTTCGGCAGCCGCCCTCCCCTCATTCCTTGCCATCTCAGTGGAGACGTTTCCTTCTTTCTGTCCAGGGTAATTCCCTGCCCCTGTGAGCTGAATCTCCTCACCTCCTGCTCTTCTGGAGTCTCTGCTGTGTCAGGGATCTCCTTCTTACGCTATCTGTAATCTCTCCACTGATTTTGTCTCCTAAGCATCGGGACATCCTCAAACCTCTGTCATCTTACAGGTAATCAATGTCCATGACCCTGCTACTTTTCTGGGTTCCCTTAGCTAATGGCTTCTCATCTTCCTGTGTGTTGTAGGTAAGCTTCTTGGAGGGATAATCCCTCTTGCTCATTTCTTTGTCTGCCATCCGTTCCTCAGCCCAGGGCACTTGGGTTCCCTCCCTGACGCTCTTTTACCAAAGTTAGAGCATCATCATGTTTCTGATGCTCATTTTAGGCTGGCTGTCCCCTAACTTCTGTGGAGTTTTTTTTTAAGTTTATTTATTTGTTTGGAGAGAGAGAGAGGGAAAGAGAGTGAGGGCACGAGCATACTGGGGAGGGGCAGAGAGAGAGGGAGAGAGAGAATCCCAAGCAAGCTCTGTGCTGTCAGCACACAGCCTGATGTGGGGCTCCATCCCATGAACGGTGAGATCATGACCTGAACTGAAATTGAGAGTCGGACCCGTAACCAACTGAGCCACCCAGGCATGCCATTCTGGGGAGATTTGGCATGCTCGACCAATCCTATGCCCGTTGCGTTCTCAGATAGCACCCTGTCCTTGACTCCCTGCCACGCCTTCTGGGTTTCTCTTGTCTGCATCACGGACCCCTCTTCCTCTCCTGTTTCTCAATTGGTCGTATTTTCCAGAGCCTTCTCGGAGCTTCTGTCCTCACTTTGCATACTCTCTGTATTAGTCGGGAATCAACCAGAACAGCAGAACCAGTAGGAGACGTACATGTGAAGAGATTCCTTGTAAGGAATTGGGTTACGTGACTGTGGGGCTGGCTGAGCAACTCTGGAACCCGTAGGGCAGGTGTCAGGAGAGGCAGGCTGCTGGCCCCACGTGGAACTTCCTTCTCAGGGCGGCTGCTGCTCTGCCCTATGTTAGTGCACTAGGACCTTCGTGACAAAGTGCCACCCATGACTGGGTGGTTTAAACAATAGAACTTGTTTTCTCACAGGGAGGACAGAAGTCTGAGGTCAAGGTGCCGGCCGGGCTGGTTTCTTTGGAGACCTCTCTCCTTGGCTTGTAGATGGCCCTTTTCTCCCTGTGTCCTCACAGGGTCTAACGTCGTGTATCTGTGTCCTAATCTCCTCTGATACAGACACCAGCCATATTGGATTAGTGCCCACCCTCACATCCCATTATACCTTGATTTTACCTCACTTTGCCTCTTTAAAGGCCCCGTCTTCAAATACAGTCACGTTCTGAGGTACCGGGGTTAAGACTTGACTGCGTATATCTGAGGGGACACGATTCCACCTTAAACACTGCCTGTCCCCTCTCCGTGCCCCTTAAGAAAACACCCTCCTCAAGCTTCGATTTCTATGATAGTTTTGTATATACGTCCTCTTTTGTTGAATTTAAAGAAAAGTTTTACTCTTGTGAAGGTCTGCATCTTGTTGAGTAAAACGTAAGGATGAACAAGGGAAAAATTATTAGGGCAAAAATAGAAGGAATCAAAATTGCTTGTTCCTTGGTCTTAAGGTTTGCCTTTTTCTTTTCTCATTAGTTTTCCTTGTTTCATTGCTACCACAATAAAGACCTGTGGGGTGTCAATCCTCTGCTACCTTTGCCCTGAGAGTAGAAGACTTTTGCGTCCCTACAGTTCAACCTGGGCAGTATTGAAGTGTCCTAAAAGGACATTTGTAAGGGCTTGGGAAAACAAAACAAAAACCAAATCAAAACAACCAACCAAACAACAACCAACAACAACAACCAGAACTGCAAAAATAGTCTGGATATGGTTCTGTTTCCTGAACTCAAATTTCTTCTCCAAAGGCAGCCAACCCACCCAAGCTTGCTGGGCACACAGGTTGTTCTTTTTACAAAGGCACCCGCTTTCTTGCTCATAACTTGGGGGACATAGTGTTTCCTCCCCAAGCCACTGACAGGAGTCCCACTATGCCGAGACCGTCTTAGGTTACGTGGCATATGCTGACTCAGGTCACCCCTGAGTTCATCTGGGCCCCATGGTTGAACTTGGGTCAGTCCCAGAAAAGGGTGTGGCTGTCACCAAAGTGGGGAAGTATGAGAAGTGAGGCGACCCAGTCAGAGTGTCTGCTGCCCTGCCTGCCTCTTTTCTATCCATCGCTGCACTTATATGTACACATATTCCAGATTTTCTCAGATGTCACCGTAGCCTACCTTGGATAATATCGCCAGACTACACCTGGAGAGGCGTTGAAGACAAAGCAGAGACTTGTGGGTATAATTAACCTTGTGCTGCCCCCTATCTGACATCAGCCTTACCTCAGGCTTTGATTGAAAAATAAGTTCTAGTTTATCCTGAGCCCTCTCTTGGAATCAGCATTAAACGTTTCCTTTCAAGTAAACCTAGTAAAGATCGGTCCAGAAGTCATTTTCAAAAGTGCCCATCTTGCATTTCTCGGAGTAATTATTACTTGACAAGCTCTTAAAAGAGAGAATCGGTTTCGTTGCAATTGGTGATATGGATTAGCAAAATGGAATTCGTTTCTTCCCTGTGGAACGTGATTGTAGCCGAAATCCAAATCCTTGTGGACGGCGGCAGAGATCAGAGACTAACCAGCTGCCCCTCCCCCCGAATACAAAAGAAAAAGAAAGAAAGAAAACCAAGCTGGTCATCAGCTATCCAGGCCCTAACGTTTAGCAGACTCCAGGCACAATTGTACTCTTCAAAATCACTTCCTGTTTCTGTTGACTTTATGAGTCTTTAGAATTTTCCGTGGTGACAGTCTTATAGTTGGTTTTAGGAGGGACTTCTTTCTGGCTGGGAGGTGTTTGCTCCTCTCCATTAATCACTTGGCTGTATCTCTTGAGCAGCAGTATCTGCTCAGTGGGAACTGTGCAGCTGGTACCTTCTTCACTGCAGATTAACTTCCAGATGCACTCAATTCCTCTTGCCCCCGGGGGATGCGGGTGGGGGGCTCTGGCCTCAGTGCAAAATCGTAACATTGTGTGGCTGCAGGGCAGTCTTCTCTCCTTTTCTCTAAGGTTTGGCTTATGTGGTTTGAGTGGTGCAAATAATGCCGGCTCAAAACTGTATTAACAAAAGATTTATTTATCCCCCCACAGAAAATCAGCCAATTTCTGTTTCTTTCTTTGGAGGGGACGCCAGCTTATGTCTGAGATAAAGAAAATTTACGTAAGAGAGTAGATTATAGGAGTAGGGATAATATCGTAAAAGGCTTATGTGTGTGTGTGTGTACGTGTGTACGTATTTTTATTTAAACGCTTACCTCCTTCCCTGGTCCAGCAGGCCAGACTTTAGATGAAAGAGAAAAGCAGAAAGCATGTGATGACTATGTGATGTATTCAGAGATCCCAAAGGAACTGATCCAAAGGTGGGGAGGGAAGCTTTCAGATTAACAATGGCTAGAGTTCTGAGCGAGCATTTTCTATAACAATGGGAACGATTTTCTCAGTATTAACTCCTTTAGCTTCACCAGGGGCTAAACTCTCTTCACCTAGTGAAGGGGGTGTTTCCTTCTGGTAGAGGACAGAGCGGGAGGGTAGTCTTCTCTCCTTTCTACCAGCATCCTGTGGCTTACTTTAGCTATGTCAGTTTTCTGTATAAAATTGGAAAAAGTCATTTGAGATATCTGTATACTTCTAAGTATCCAGAGAGCTGACGATTGGTACACGTCAGTCGTCTGAGGTTTGTAGTTTTCTACTGGACATTGTTAGGCATGGTAGTGCACAGCTGGATACACTAGACCATTCGTTCTGGGAGTCAAGGCCATGCCAACAGAGAATGAGCAGGTCCAGGGCACCAGCTATTGTAGTGAAATCACCACTCTGCATTCTCCCACCACCCGCATGGACAGCCTTGCCGGCCATGCAACATGACAGATGTCCACCATTCCAGCTGTATCTCACTGCCAGCGTGGTCACTGAGGTGGTGACAGTCGTGGGACGCAGGGACACAGTCTGCTCCACTGTACTCCCTATAGCTTTTGCTCTTTCCACGTGGGTGAGTAATTCTGGGGAACTGAAGGGGCGTGACCATCTACATGAATCCGTGTGAGTCTATGAATTCACATAGCGAATTCACATAGTGACTATGTGAATATAGTGAGTATATTCAATTGCAGAGTCAGATCATCGGAGCAAGTGACTGAATTTCCCTTCCTTCCCTTAAATATCAATAAGCTGTTACCCCTGAGGAAAGAACCATAATTTCAATAATAAATAATCCAAAAAGATGTCGGGTAGCCAATTAATTTCATCGGGATGAACTGAAAGTCATCTGGAGAATTCACGAGGCAAACTTCTTGTGTTTTCAAATGAACTCTTCTGAAAATTCACATTGGTAAAGCCATCATTTGTGATCATTTAAAACATAAAATCTGGAATGCTCTAAATCTGGAAAACGAATAAGTCATGCTCGTTGGCCACATAGAGAAGAGAGTGTCAAAACACGTCTCTCATTGTGCTAGTCTTCCGCTGTTGGTTTCACAGGACTGTCCAGAGAAATGTCCTTCTCCTGAGCCTGGTGTGTTGGGGGTCTTGAGACCCTAGTGCCTACAGCCCCAGGGTTGTAATATGGCGGCCAGCTTCCTGTGGGTCAGGAGCCATTGGTTCACCAGACCAAACAGCCATTCTTCAGGTGCATTCTGTTGGACCTTAGGGGTCTGCCGTAGTAAAGGGGTCTATTCAGAAAAATGACCACTCGGGTGTTTGTTTCATAATGTTGGCGCTGTGGTTTCATGGCTACTCAGAAGGCTCAGCTCTTACTTCCCACTGTCTCACTCGTTTGTGGTCTGAGGCAAGCCATTTACATCCTCCCTACTGTTTCCTCACCCAAACAATGGGTATTGCTTGTGGAAAAACTCCAACACGATAAAGTACCCGACAACCTTTGTCCAGAGGGGGGCATGCTAATGTTCTATATCCATGTCGCCTGAATCATGCCCCATTTGCTCATCTCAAAGGTTTTTATTATTATTATTATTATTATTATTATTATTATTATTTTTACCCTCATGATGCTTACTTAACCACACTTACCAGAATGTTTTTCAATCTTGAGCTGCTGGAAGAAGCAGAATTCACAGAACCACATGATTTCTCTGATAAAATCTCTGCCTCCTGGAGAAATTTTGGAATGACAGCTCCGCCTTCCTTTACTCATGAGGTGTGCACTCCACGAACCCCTGAGAAACAGCGAAGCGCAAGATCCTGTCCAGGTCTTCTCTTCTTTAAAATGTGCCCCGATCTCTTCCCCACACACCGATCCTTCCCTTCCGTCTGTCCCTCTAGTGCCTGTGGTAATTTTTGACTCCACTGGTTGAAAAGCTCCCCGGGGGCGCGGTCTGTATATTGAGTCTTTCAGTCACGCTCAGTGGCCAGTATGTTGCTGGGTATGGAGCACTTAAAAATGTGTTGAAATAATGAAACGATAAAGACAGGGGAGGAAGCTTGACTCTAACAAGAGAGAAGAGAGGGTGTGTGTATTGTCAGCGTGGGGGGCAATTGTAGGTAAGAGCTAAAAATGCCTAGAATCCACAAAATGGAAAACCTGTGTGTGTATTTAAAGACGGGTGATGATTGCCCATCAGGATCCTGGATGTATTATGCTGTCGCAAAGCTAAAAAAAGAGCTCCTGATTGAAGAAGCATCATTTAAATTTCAATTCAGACAGCACTTGGGCAGTGTACCTCAACAGGAAGGGATGCTGCTAACCCAAATATGGGCTCTTCTACCCGTATATTGTCAGAGCACAGGAGGCGCATGGGAAGGACGAGGAACCGTCTTACGACTGCTGTGTTGCAAGGTCAGTGTTCCTCCCGCTCGTGCCTCATTTTTCTCACGGCAGGTGCCGCGCTCTCCCAGAACCCCCGCCTGGTGACGCTGGTTCCTGATGGCTCAGCACAAAACCCTGTTCGTGTATGACTGCCAATCTAAGAGCACCTCCCCCCTCAATTCTCTGTAGGGAACTACGGTAGGAAGGTCTTGAGTTAATGTGTGCTGGGGAGCATTTCTTACTCCCGGAGACACGTTGTGCCGCTTTGCCAGGCGATGGCTTTCTTCATGGCCCGACCCGTGTCCCTTATCGTCATCTCCAGGTTTGTAACATTGGCAAGTGTTGCAGGGACAGCCCACAGACTTTGCTCTTTTCGTGCCATATGCTCCTGTGGGGCGTAAGCTAAAAAGTGCAACCACTCACTGCCAGCCCCCCTCCAGCTTCTCCAGACGAGCCAAAAACTTCCCACCCAGATGGTGCCATTTTACTCGAAATACTCGCAGATTTTTGTAAAGCAGTGTGGAGGAAATGGAACATAATTTCATATCTTCTCATAGTAAGAAAGCTTACTCCACACCCCCCCCCCCCCGCCCCGCCCAGGGACATCTGATTGAAAGGACTAACTACTCTCTCCATTTGATGAAATACAAACAATCCCCGAGTCCTCAACCAGACTGCCTTTGACCACGAGGGTCTTATCGCGCTGTCCCAGGATCCAGTCGGGTAACGTGCCTGAAGGACTGTCAGCAAATCCTCGTTGAACTCGTAGTTTATTCACTACTCAAAATTATACCTGTCAGTTCTCCCTTTCGGTGTGGTAAATGAGATCATGACCTGAGCCGAAATCAAGAGTCCTACAGCTTAACCAGCTGAGCCACCCAGGCGCCCCTTGCAATACCTTTTACAACCATATGACCTTGAGAAATGCACGGAAGTCTGGTGATTCTCAGTGGCCTCAGCTGTAGGATAGGGTTACTGATGCCTGCCACGTGGAGCTGGGGTGAGGACTGAGTGGGGTGCATCTGTGGGACGTACAGTAGAGTCTGATGCAGGGAGTGTTTGAAATAAGTGGGTATCGAGACTGTCATCGTTAACATGAACCAGTTGGAAACCAGAGTGATGCGGTGACACCAGGATGCTGGCAGATACGGGGTTGTCCATGGCAGGAGGGCACAGGACCATCTCTAGGTCTCTGGTAGGTGTCACCCCCGGGGGTGACAGTGGTAGCTCCCACGTGAATGGTCTGAGAAAAGCTTGTTTCTCAGGGAGCAAGGACTTTTGCTTCGACGAGTCTCATTAAAATTTTGTGTAATTTGTAGACATTTCTGTTATAGGTGCTCACCTCTCTTCTTCTGAGATCTGATGACCAGATCTGAATTCTTTAGAAGCTCAAGGCTTAAGCAGTTTCATACATTTACTTGTTGAAAGTCTTTTTGGAAGGCTTAAGAGCAAATCACTCATCATTTTGTGATTGCTTACAGGTGCACATTGTATTTTATGTGTCAACTTTTTGTTACATTCTAGGTAGTTAGCATATAGTATAATGTTAGTTTCAGGAGCAGCATTTAGTGATTCATCCCTTATGTACATCACTCATTGCTCATCACAACAAGTGCCCTCTTTAATACCCACCACCCATCTAGCCCAACCCCCACCCACCTCGCCTCCAGCAGCCCTCAGTTTGTTCTCTAGAGTTACGAGTCTCTTATGGTTTGCCCCCCTCTCATGTTTTTCCTCCGCCTGTATTCATCTGTTTTGTTTCTTAAATTCCACATATGAGTGGAATCATATGGCGTCTGTCTTTCTCTGACTTCTCTCAGTTAGCATAATGCTTTCTGGTTCCATCCATGTCAGGGCAAATGGCAGGGTTTGTTCTTTTTGATGGCTGAGTAATATTCCATTGTGTCTTCCACTTCTTTATCCACTCATCAGTCAGTGGACATTTGGGCCTTTTCCATAATTTGGCAGTTACTGATACGGACATGTTACATTTTTATCATAACTCCTTTTTCATTCCATTCATACTCTTCCAGCGTATAAGGTCGCAGGCATCATTTTTACTATTATCTTTTGTGTTCAAGCTAAACCATGGCTCTGACGAAAAACTAGGTTCCTCTCTTCTGGTCGTAACTGATGGCTTCCACATACGTAAAAGAGGGAGAGGAGGTGAAGACCATGGAGTAAATTAGACATATTCTCCGGAGCAGGGGCAGTCCGTAGCTATCTCAGGAGCTCTTTAAGATAAGCATTATATTTCTCATTTTAGAGTTGAGAATCCAAAGCCCAGTTTTTAGTGACATGTCCAAAATCTAACAGTTGGAGGGAAACATAAGGACCAGAACCCAGGTCGACCCAACTGTGTAAGGCAGGGGACGTCCGTCTAACTTCATAAAGTAAGAGGAGAATATCAAGGTCACTAATCCGAGAGCAGAAGTTAAAGGCACTGCTTGCTAAAATCTTTGTTAATATCAGGGATTTGTGGGGGACAAAATGGAAAGAATAGGAGGTCGGCCTGTAAGATGCGCTTTTCAAACATAAAACCGCATCTTAAAGAAGACAGTATTTGAACAGATACTATTTCCATCTTGCTCCCTTGAAACATTTGTTCTGTCTCAGCAAGTGGACCTTCCCTAGTTACCTGTGCCTTTATAAAGCCTAAGCCCTGAGCATTGGTCATACACATTTAATCACTTTCTAGAACTTACAGGCCACTTAATAATATTTGAGTGAAAACTGTAAAGGGAAAATATGACATATTTTAAAGTAAACTCCTCGTTCTCCAGATTAGAGCACCGCTTAGATGGCAGAGCATGAAAATGGAAACCAACCGCTCCTGACTCTGGCCGTCTTGACCATGCCTTCATCCAAGCACTGACAGGCCATTTCCTAGCCAGAAGAGGAGAGACCGGGGGGGGGGGGGGGGGGGGGGGGGGGGGGGAGGAACGATGAGAATGAAGTATGATCCTGTGTGTCACACATTTTGAGCCAGGTCATCTACTGCCTTTATGGCCATTTGATTTTATTATCTTTATGTAACAGGAACTGAAACTCAGGAAAGTTTTACACTGAGTCCAGACGCAGGATGATCTGACTTCACAGAAGACCACTCTGCCTCCCGGGAGAGCCCCGGCTGTTCTGTTACTACACGTTAAAAGACATTTCTTATGTGGATATTTATGTGTTGAGAGACACCCTGGCAGTGATCAATAATAACCACTGATTTTGATTTTGTGGCCAAAGCAGTAGTTCTCCATAAGACACCTCCTTACAAGTGCCCTTCAATGAAAGCCAAAGCCATAACATTAAGAAAGTCCGTGGGGCATGGCTGAATTACTTACGACAAGGTCTGCAAATCGGAGGTGTGTGGAAAGTAATTAACATGGATTTTCCCCTACGTATCTTAGCCTTTGGCCTCTGAAAACCTGCCGATAGCATTTGGAACATCTCCTGCCCTGTAGATCCCCGAGGGAGTGTTCTCTACGTAAAACAATCCTTTTAAAAATTCCGTTTCAGTTGAAAATGGAATTGGTCTAAACTTCATGTTATGATGGAAAGAATCATTTGGGCTTAAAGGCAATCTTTCTGACCTGCTTTGAAAATTACTGTCCCCTTGGTTGGAAGAGGAAGCAACTTAATGTGCTTTAAAAATCTCTCAAGATGAGAGTAAAGAAAAACTGAGTTATTTCTCACCTACTGTGCTAGATTACATTGAGTGCCATGATGTGTATAAAGAAGAACTCAGTCTGCTTTATGTACATAATGCATTTAAGACGAAAAAACTAGTGGCACACTGGCAAACAAAATCAACAGACTTAGTTATGTTTTAGCCATTAAGATGGAAAGTATTTTATTTATTTATTTATTTATTTATTTATTTATGATTTAAATTTATTTATTTATTTATGATTTAAATCCAAGTTAGTTAATATATAGTGTAATAATGATTTCAGGAATAGAATTTAGTGATTCCTCACTTACATATAACACTCAGTGCTCATCCCAAAATTGAATGTTATTTTCAAAGTGAAAACTGGAGAGAGGGTACTGTTGGTGGGAATGCACACTGGTGCAGCTCCTCTGGAAAACAGTGTGGAGGTTCCTCAAGAAACTAAAAATAGAACTACCCTACGATCCAGCAATTGCATAATTAAGTATCTACCCAAAGGATACAAAAATACAGATTTGAAGGAGTACATGTACCCCAATGTTTATAGCAACATTATCAACAGTAACCAAACTATGGAAAGAGCCCAAATGTCCATCGACTGATGAATGGATAAAGAAGATGTGGTATATGTGTGTGTGTGTGTGTGTGTGTGTGTGTGTGTACATATATACATGTATATATATACATATATATACATAGATATACATGTATATGTATATACATATATATGTGTGTATATATACACATACATACATAAAATAGAATATATATAACTATATATAAATTTTTATTTATATTTATATAAAATAGAATATATATAATAGAATATATATAAAATAGAATATATATATATACATAATAGAATATTACTCAGCCATCAAAAAGAATGAAATCTTGCCATTTGCAGTGATGTGGATGGAGCTAGAATGTATTATGCTAGACGAAATAAGTCAATCAGAGGAAGACAAACACCATATGTTTCACTCATATGTGGAATTTAAGAGACAAAACATACATGGGGGAAAAAGGGAAGAGAAGGAAATAAACCACAAGAGACTCTTAATGATAGACAGCAAACTATGGGTTGACAGAGGGAGGTGGGTGGGAGATGGGCTAGATGGGTGAGGGGAGGGCACTTGGGATGAGCACTGGGTGTTGTATGTAAGTGATGAATCACTGAATTCTACAACTGAAACCAGTATTGTATTGTATTGTATGTTAACTAAAATTTAAATAAACTAAAATTAAATTTAAAAAAGAAGACCATTTTGGATTTTCAAGAGACACAATCACAATGACGGATTTCTCAAAATGACCCCGAGGAAGAGTTGAGTAAGTTTTATCTTTGTTTTATTCAGGGAAAGGGAAAAGATAAATTATGTAAAAAATGCTTAAGGCCAAGCAGCTCCAGGGTTAAAATGAATTGCCAGTCACAAAATAAAGACCTGTATTATACACAAGTCTGTCCAAAAGGTCTATACGTGTATTCATCTATTTATGTATGCTATCCTTTGCCTTTTTAAAATTTAATTATATTTTGAACACAGCACGAGAATAAAAGCTAGGTAAAGTCAGAGACTTTTGCCCATTGTTTTCTACTACTCCTAATGTCTAGAACAGTCCTTTTGCATGTTAGACACCTGGATTTGACCTGAAGATGAAGAGAAATGACCTTGTTTCTTGTCTTTTAGATACACAAAGATGAAGACAGCAACCAACATTTATATATTTAACCTGGCGTTGGCGGATGCTTTAGTTACTACGACCATGCCCTTCCAGAGCACCGTCTATCTGATGAATTCCTGGCCATTTGGGGACGTGCTGTGCAAGATTGTCATTTCCATTGACTACTATAACATGTTTACCAGCATATTCACCTTGACCATGATGAGTGTGGACCGATACATTGCTGTGTGCCACCCCGTCAAGGCTTTAGACTTTCGCACACCCATGAAAGCAAAGATCATCAACATCTGTATTTGGCTCTTATCATCAACTGTCGGCATATCCGCGATAGTCCTCGGAGGGACCAAAGTCAGGGAAGGTAAGGACCATCATTGTCACCTCATTTGCAAAAACCTTACTTCTAATGATGTAAACTCCTAACGTGCAAGTGAGTAGGACACACAGCTAGGGGAAAAACCAAAAGCCAGTGGAAATACTATGCCTAAATCCATGGAAGATGAGAAACACAACCATTTGTGCTGTCCGTATCTACACATAGGAGAGGATAAAGACATTACCCAGATACAGGTGCCCAGCCTATCTGCTATTCTGGAAGTGCTTATCAGAATCTGGAGGAGTGGGGATGAAACAGGGACCCACAGGCATGTGGATTTTTAGAATACAATTACATTGCATCCTGGCGATTCTAAGATACACCTAGTCACTCCTCTTCTTTCTCCCCAAAAGAGGACCCTTAATCATTAGACATCTATGCTGGCCCTTTACTCTATTTCTTTAGGCGTTAATCTTCGCATCCCTATCATAATAGCTTCATCTGGCTGTAAGCCATTCAAAATCGGGTTCACAGATGGAGGATAGCACACATCAGCAAAACTTAGCTTTTGGACATTTTAGTTCTCACCCAATGCAAACAGGATACTTGATGTTTCTCCAGTATTTCTAAGATGGTGGTTCTAACGCCTGGGTACCTTAGAAAATACAGTTGATCCTTGAACCATGTTGGGGGGGGCATCAGCCCCATGCAGTTAAAAATCTATGTCTGACTTTTGATTCCCCAAAACTTAACTACTACTAATAGTCTACTATTGACCCAGAAGCCTTACTGATAACATAAATAGTCAACTAACATGTTTTGTATTTGTTCCTATGCTATATTCTTAGGATAAAGTAAGCTAGAGAAAAGAAGATGTTATTAAGAAAATCATAAGGTGGAGAAAATACAATTATAGTACTGTACTGTATTTGGAAAAAAAGAAACCTATGTATAAGTGCACCTGTGCAGTTCAAACCCATGTTGTTCAAGGGTCATCTGAACTAATGCCCGGGTCTCACCTCTGGAGGGTCTCTGGGTTAATTGACCTGAGGTACCGTCTGGGGGTCAAGATTTTTTAGATGGCCCCAGATGACTCTGACCTGTAGCCTGGGTGAGAATTGCTGCTGGGGAAGTTTTGCTTAGAGATTCCTTGGGAAGAAGGGAGCAGAACCACCACTTTGGACTTTATAAATGCTATTTACTGCTGTAGCAGTTCTCTAAATGGTCTAGTTTATTAGGGAGGCTCATGATACCTGGGGATACAGATAGTTGAATACGTGTAGTGGGGGGCTTGCCAGATCAAAGAAAGGGCAGGTGCTAAAATCATAGCTTACGTGGCATAGTCCACATTAAAAAAATTTTTTTTGAATGTTTATTTTTTGAGAGACAGAGAGAGAAAGAGCGTGAGTGGGGGAGGGGCAGAGAGAGAGAGAGAGAGAGAGAGAGAGAGAGAGAGACAGAATCCAAAGCAGGTTCCAGGCTCTGAGCTGTCAGCACAGAGCCTGTCGTGGGGCTCGAACTCACGAACTGTGAGATCATGACCTGAGCCAAAGTCAGACATTCAACTGACTGAGCCCCCCAGGCGCCCCTGGCACAGTCCACTTTTTTGATGAAATACAATCTTTTCCCTCTTAAACAATAAAATGAACTTCCAACTTCGCCATGGTGGATGTTAAGCTACAATACTTGGGTAAATTTTAAGACCTGTCAAACTTCATCAGAGAAGCATTTTAAAATACGATTAATTACACACAGGGTTTTGTTTCTTCCTGCATACAACAAATGGAAATAAAGTTGCAAGAAACCGTTCTGAGCCTAGGGTGTTGATACTTAATAATTGGATTCAAGAAGAGAGGCCATGTAGACACCACCAGGACTAGAAGAATGGGCTAGATAGTCAAAGAAGACGGTGATTTTCCCCATGGTAAATAAAGAACTGATTTTGATATTTCATGACATGCTTGCAGACTTAACCACTACACTCCTCTAATCACTGTCAGAAAGTGACGTCCTAGAAGCAGCGGATTTCAGTTTGGCTTTTGAAAGAGAAAAATGGGGGCGCCTGGGTGGCGCAGTCGGTTAAGCGTCCGACTTCAGCCAGGTCACGATCTCGCGGTCCGGGAGTTCGAGCCCCGCGTCGGGCTCTGGGCGGATGGCTCAGAGCCTGGAGCCTGTTTCCGATTCTGTGTCTCCCTCTCTCTCTGCCCCTCCCCCGTTCATGCTCTGTCTCTCTCTGTCCCCAAAATAAATAAACGTTGAAAAAAAAAAAAAAAAGAAAGAGAAAAATGAAGGTAGATGTAGGTTTTCCAGGAAGGAGCTGCTGTGGATGAATGTGTGCAGATCTGGTGGAAGAAGGGATCAACCAGTGTTGGGAGAAGATTAATTTGTGCAGGAAACAGAGGAGAACTAGGGAGAAATAGAGGAGAAATAGAGGAGAAAATGGGAGACAATTAAAGTAGTCTCGTCGGAGGGCTCTGTTCTTTCTTCGTTTCTTTTTTTTCTAAAGCAGGTTTTTATGTGATGAAAGATGGTCTCTGGACTCATTTCGGAGTGCTGGATGACACTCCACGTCAGGACTCTTGGATCATGAAGAGGACTGTTTTACACAATCTCTAGGCCCTGAATTAGAGCTCAATGGCATTGGTAGTTGATACTGTTGTGTTTGCGGACAATGCTCAGGAAGGAAATCAGGCGTCAATTTCACGAGCCCAGGCTCATCTGGACAAGAAATCTCAGCTAATGTTCTGGGTTTCTTCCTGGCTTCTTTTTGGTTAAGAGCACAGATTCTGAAAGCAAATAGCCTGGAATCGAATCCTGATTTCCCCATTTATGGACAGTATCACTTTGGAGACATTACTCAGACTTCTGTACCTCAGTGTCCTCATTTGCAAAATAGGGGTAGATAACAGTGTCTCCCTCCTAGAGTGTTTTCCAGATCCATCGAGTCTGTGCATGGAAAGCTGGAAAGCTGGAAAGCAGTGCGTGTGTCTGGGAAGCACTTGATCAATGTTCGCTAGCATCTGACCTGACGTAATGATTTTAACAGGTCCTGCCTTCCTGCTATGTTTACCAACATCCAACAGGGTATTCATTCAATATCGAAGGCTCTTGTGTACAGCAAAATTTTCACTTTCTGGACATAAGATGTTAAATATAACATTTTACATAGTATCCATGTGCACACCATGTCTTTTGGGAATCATAGTCTGCCTATTATAACGACTAAATAACGAAGTTGTAATGGCTACAAGCAGAAACAAAAATATTCTTAACAAACACCGCAAAAGCTTTAGTTTAGATACTAGAACTAACTCTATAATTACGACAGCCTGGAGACGTTGGAACCCATACTAAAAAAGAAAGCTGTGACCCTCTAATATAAATATAAAAGCAGAAGAAAGACTATTTTGTAGAAAAATCACTTTACTACGGTTGACGTGCAAAAAGCTGTACGTATTTAATGTAAACAACCCAGTGCATTTGGAGATAGCTATATACCTGTGAAACCATTATCCCCTCAAGACGGCAGACCTTTGCCACCTCCCGACGTTTCTTCTTGCCTTGTTTATTAGGTTTCTTGTGTGATAAGAAAATTTAACCTAAGGTCTCCACCCTCCTAGCAAATGTCAGGTATGTAGTTCAACATTGTCAGTTACAGAACCTGGGCTACATAGTAGATTCCCAGAACTTACTTACTTGCACGACTGAAACTTTGTACCCTTCCTTTGACTTGTTGTCTCCCCTGTTCCTCCTGCTCTTGGAAAGCACAATTCTTGTCTCTGCTTCTGTGAATTTGATTATTTTAGATTCCATATATAAGGGAGAGCATATAGGATTTGTATTTCTTTGTCTGGCTTATTTCACTTAGCACAATGTGTATCAGGTCTATCCATGTCGCCACAATTGGCAAGATTTCTTTCTTTTAAAAGACTGAATAATATTCTGGTGTGTGCGTGTGTGTGTGTGTGTGTCACCAGTTTGCATTCCCACCAACAGGATCCCTTTTCCGCACATTTTTGCTGACACATCTTTTTTTTTTTTTTTTAATAATAGCCACCCTAACAGGTTTGAGGTGATTTTGATTTGCATTTCCCTGTTGATTAGTGGTGTTGAGCACCTTTTTATATACCTGTGGGCAATTTGTATGTCTTTTTTGGGGGAGACGTCTGTTCAGGTTCTTTGCCCGTTTTTAAATCAGATTATTTGCTTTTCCACTATTGAGTTGTATGATCTCCTATATATTTTAGATATTAGCCCCTTATCAGATACATGATTTGCGGATATTTTCTTCCATTCCACAGGCTGCCTTTTCAATTTGGTGATTGTGTCCTTGGCTGTGCAGAAGAGGGTTTTTTTTTTCTTCTTTTTTTCTAGGTTGGATTAGTTTGATGCAATCTTGCTTGTTGATTTTTGGTTCTGTTACTTGTGCTTTGGGGTCGCATCCAAAAAAAATCATTGCCAAGACCACTATCAAGAAGCTTTTCCCCTACGTTTTTTGTAAAAGTTTTATGGTCTTATTTACAGTTAAGTCTTCAATCCACTTTGAGTTGATTTTTGTGTTATGGTATAAGGCCCCAAGTGCATTCTTTTGCACGTGGATACCCCATTTTCCCAGCACCATTTATTGAAGAGCCCATTCGTTCCCCATTTTCTATTTTTGGCACCCTTATTGGAAGATTACTTGACTGTATAGGCGTGCTGGGATTATTTCGGGGCTCTCTAATCCATTCCATTGGAATATGTGTCCGTTTTTTATGCCAGTACCAGACTATTTTGATTACTATGGCTTTGTAATATAATTCATAATCAGGCAGCGTGATACCTCCAGCTTTGTTCTTGCTCAAGATTGCTTTGACTCGGGGTGCCTGGGTGGCGCAGTCAGTTAAGCGTCCGACTTCAGCCAGGTCACGATCTCGCGGTCCGTGAGTTCGAGCCCCGCGTCGGGCTGTGGGCTGATGGCTCGGAGCCTGGAGCCTGTTTCCGATTCTGTGTCTCCCTCTCTCTCCGCCCCTCCCCCGTTCATGCTCTGTCTCTCTCTGTCCCAA